TTTTGTTTTTTTTATATTGCCTTATCGCTTAGTTTAAAAGATACATACGTTCTAAAGTAAAATATTCAGTTGTTTTTTGTTCGTTATGGTTTTTTTTATACTACATACTAGGTCGTAGCTGTTTAGAACTTGTTGTTGTAATTGGGTCACAACGCAGATGTTCTTTTAGTGTTTATTTTCAGCTATTAGTTCTGTACTACGTATAGTTAATCGAAATAAAGAAAAACAACTCTTTGTAAGAGTTATTATAAATCAAAGTAATAATATTCCACAACAAAAACCAAACCGTGAAAAAATGGCCAAACTACAGACCGTCTCCCAAAAAAGTCAGCCTATCAAAATAGTGAAATCTACATTATGGCCGAGTCTACTCTTTCTTTAGTCCATAACTTTACTTCACTCCTACTTTCATGAACAACACTGCTCTTTAGTTTTTATCACATAACACTTAGCCAGTTTCTGCATGAGGCATAAAACATAGATAAGGTGTTCTTGACCCAACCCGTTACAAAAATTACATTTTCACACTCATGTATAGATAGATTAGTTACAGTGCAATTTGTGCACTATTTAAAAACATAAAATACTTATGTGGAAATTAAGTATCAACTGTATTCATCATATAATATGTTTTATATAATGTTAGATTTACAAGGTAATTTATCACAATTAGTACATAAAATGTAATAAAATTATTTATGCACACTGAGACGAGGTACAAAATGTACATTGTATTAAACTAACATTTTTATTTCTAGCTAAATTTGTTAAATAGTACAAAAGCAAACGTTACGTTTTGTATCTTTTTTAAAAAAGTGTATACTAATACAATATTTATGGATTTTTTTTTAAGGAAAAGAAATTGTTTTTGGGTCATACCTTGTTTTATTATAAATATTTATAAACGTTTGGATTTGCTTGCATGATTGTATCATAGATATTGTTACAAATACATATTATAGCGAACATATTTTTTTATAAAATTCAACAATGGTATTTAAACAAAAGTTTTTTTACCTACGTATGTATTATGTTCTAGTTGATAAAATTTTTTTATCGTGTTCATATTTTCCGATCTCTTAATATATTAATTTAATTCGTCTTTGGTTTTTTATTAGTCGTAGTTAAGAAAATAATATTGTTTTAAATGTTCTATATAATCAAATAAATGTAATATTAAGTAATAATTATAAATGTTTGAATTAGGACACTTAAAGAAGAAAATATTGTTGCTTAATGTACTGTCTACTTAGAAAATACAATAATCTAGGTTTATAGTGTTGAAGTCACTTTTTAGATTTTTTCGTTATAAACATAAATGTTGACCATAACTCTTAAACCCTGAAACTGAGAATAAAAATTGAAAAAAAAAAAAAACACTTTCACCCCCCCCCCTCCTATGGTGGGCGCAGGGTTGATGAAATTTAGGTTTGAGTTAATGTGTAAACATAGGCATAACTCATCAACATTCTAAAAAAGTTGTTCAGCCGAGTCTGCAACCACGAAAGAGCATTTTCATGTCTCGTTGAAGTACCGAATAAATTTAAAATAGTTGTGGAATTATAATTAAAAAAAAAATTACATGGAGCTTCCAGTTACAGCATAAGGCCAAGGAGATAAAAAAATTATGTACAATCAAGTTTCTGGCTAAAATTGTAGTGTTTATTATCTGGCCAAAAGTAACTTAACAAAGATAATTAAATTATTTTGAATTTATTATTTAGTTCTATGTTGAACGTTGAACGTACAACATATCTTATCTTATCTCATATCAGGTAACGATTTTTTTGGTAACACTTTTTTTTGGTTATGTACCGGCTAATTCTCACCCCTATCTCCTACCCCTATCTCCCGTCTCCAACCCATCTCCGCGTGGTAACGCTTTTTTGATAACGCTTTTTAGGTAACACTTTTTTCGTTACGCTTTTATGGTAACGCTTTTTTCGGTTATTTGCCAGGGTTAAAACATGAAAATGTCAAAAATATTGACTGATTTCGACCGTTTTTGTGAAGATATAACAAATCAAATTTGACGGTTGAATAACCGGTCAAATCGTTCGAGGATTTTCATTTAAAAAAAAAAAAAACGTTGACTATAGATTTAGATATATAAACCTATTTTCAAACTAATTTCAGTCTTAGTGTACAAAACTGTTATTTGCTATAATTATTGAAACATCGGGGTTCTACGGATATGCAAGAAAATAGTTCAAACATTCGAATAGGTACCTAAACAAATAACAAAACAAAATACGCTAAAAAAACACATTATCTTGTTAAACAACGAGCCGTCAATTTTTGTATGGTATTCTTTGTAAATTTACTCTATACAAAAATATTATATTGTACCGTACCATTTTATAAAACATAATAGAAAAAAATGTATTATACACGAGTTTAATTTTCAAAAAATGGTAACTTTGTAAAATTTTAATATTAGACGACCTTAGAACCAATATCTATAATATGTAACATATTTTGACATTTTCATGTCTTAGCTCTGGCACATGACCGAAAAAAAGTGTTACCAAAAAAGCGTAACCAAAAATAATTAATAACGAAAAAAGCGTTAGGACATGGAGATGGGGTTGGGGGTGGGAAATGTGATAGGGATGGAGGTGGGAATGCCATGGTGGAACCCCATGGGTTGGGGGTAGGAGATAGGGAGTAAGAGAAAGGAGATAGGGGGTAGGAGATAGGAGATAGGGGTAAGAGATAGGGGACAAAATGTATTCGGTAATTCAACGAGGCATGAAAATGCTCTTTCGTGGTTGCAGAATCGGCTGAAAAACTTAATAACTACAGAAGTAGTCAAACATTCCTAACGGCTAACTTAGGTAAGTATGCCAGTGCGACCATATGAAAAAAATAACATGTTGTTATAAGACGGCAGGGTAAACAGATAATAGGTACATCAATGGGCTTGCCAACCGGCAAAACAACTACTGTATTTTTTTTATGATTCATAGGCCATAGCCACGATTATTTGTTTTTAAATTCAATATGAGTGTTTAACTTATATTCAACAAACAAAATACATATGGGTTTATAAGTTTTACACTGAAATCGCTAAAACAGCAGCCATTTATAAAAGAATAGGAATCATTAAAGATTTAAATTCCTGTATACCTATTCAATTGACTTACGCATCAAAACAATTTCATAATGAGTGTTACATTTGTTAGTATTTTTTTATACATGTTTCTACATTATTGTACAGCAAGACGAATTGTTGGAATTAAAGATGAGGTAATTTTGAATTTATTCTATCCAACTATTTAATTCTTAAAAAAAATAAAGTTTATTTATTAAACCTATTGAATAATAATAATTTGATCACATTGTGTACTCAAAAAAAAAAAATTTTGACATTGTATTGTTCTTACAATGGTTTGTATTTTTTTTATACTGAACATAATATGATAGTATATTTATATTTTATTAAATTATTTGATATAACAATGACGCTCCTTGGGGCAAGAGTACAGACACGTTTTAAAACAAGTTAATTAATTAATACAAATAAATACTAGGAACAAAAATCACTAACAGACTCATGCTGAATAGTTCAAAACAAACAAGCCCATTATTATATAATACTATAATAAACATATTTTCATTACCTATTGACTGTTGATTTACTTACCCATAGCAACTTATAACAATAGTAATTTCCCTATTTTGGGGGTTGTCCATAATAAAAAAGAAAAATTTGACTACAAATTTTTGTGAAAATTGTACGTTATGGTTCCTCTCTAGATCTACCTCTGACCTAGATCATAGATTCAGTGACTGAAATACTGTATTTTTCTTATCCCTGTATATTATAAAAGTACCTAATGTTCAAACAAAATCATAATAATTAAAAATACACCAAATATCATAATAATAGTAATAATAATATGATGATAGTTAATACCTATATCATAGAAAACTATTTCAACTATTTTGAACCTACTGTGTTCGTTTTTCCATGTTTTTAAACTTTTCAATGAAATATATACAGGTATTTTTAAACTTTTTAATCTCTACTTCAGAACGCCATGATTGATGAACTTATTACTTCTTAATCATTTTTGCTCAGAAACAATGGTGAAATTTGAATAGAAAAGTTAATAACAACGGAAAATTCTCTTTTTTTTTACACAAAACTATTTCAACTATTTAGATTTCCTACTATGTTTGTTTTCCCAGTTTTCCAACTTTTTTAATGATACATTTATTTTGGTAGAAAAAAATGTAGAAATTTAATAAGAATATTACATTAATATTGTTATAAATTATTATGTTTGCTTACATAATATGATCACATAGCTTACCATTAGGTATTTTTAAAACTTTTTGATCTCTCTTTTTTCCTTTAGAACTCCATGAATAATAAACTTAATACTTCTTAATAGTTTTTGCTTGGAAAACATTATGTACTGAGAAAAAAGCATTTTACATAACTATATTTATGTAAAAATAGAAATGAAAACGTTGTCGAAAACTATTAACGAATTAGGAATCGACTATTTGTAATAATATCTATAATTGTCGAGCTGTAATACCTTTTGGTGTAGGCTAATTAAAAAAAAAATAGTAATAATCGACCATATTTTTCTTATAAGTTAAAAAATATATACTAGGTGATTTTAACAAATACTGACTATGTCGACTTTCTAATTACATATGGGGTATAACATGTACTTAAATATATTTCAATTGAACATTAATGATAAAGTAAAAGAGTAACTGTGTTAATTGTTGTAATGTACATGTCGCCAATGGAGAGTATTAATTTAAATAAAATAAATAAAGTTGATGGACTATATTCAGAATGTAATTCAATAATAAGTCATTAACACACAGTTTCTTATTGTGTTATTTACTTAAGGTTCAAAGTTCCCTAATAATCAATTATCGTAATTAACGTTGTCACGTTTAAATGTGCTTACCAAATAATCAACTGTCATATAAAAAAAAAAATTGCCAAATGAATGATACAAAACAGGTATAAATAGAAATAAAAAATGTATATTCAAAACCAAATAATAAATTATATGACTAATAATAACAATATATTTATGATACAAATAATACCAATATCAAACTATCGATAAAAATAAGGCTGCAGAGTACTAACCCGCTTGTTAAAACAACATAATAATTAATATTACTTACAATTAAGTTTCTCATAAATGTGCCAACGTTTGTGCTTTTGTTAGATGTTATTTAAAAAAAAAAAAAATTCAAGCACGATGTATACTTTTAAATTTAATAAACATTTCACCAGCGTGCATGCGTTTATTATGTCTTGTGAGGTCGTGTTTTCGAGAAAACGATTTCGAGCACACCAAACATTTATAAGGCTTTTCGCCAGTGTGCACGCGTTTGTGTAGTGAAAGAGAGGATTTTACAGAAAATTTCATTAAACACACATTACATTTGTAGGGTTTCTCTCCTGTATGCACGCGTTTGTGTTGTTCAAAGTGGACTTTTTGATTAAATGATTTTGAGCAAACGTCACAGTTGTAGGGCTTTTCATCAGTGTGCAGGCGTTTGTGTTTTGCGAGAGTGGATTTATCAGAAAACGACTTTGAGCATACAACACATTTATAAGGCTTTTCGCCAGTGTGCGCGCGTTTGTGTACTGTAAGAGTGGATGTATCAGAAAATGACTTCAGGCACACGTTACATTTGTAGGGCTTTTCGCCAGTGTGTACGCGTTCGTGTTTTGTGAGGTAGGGTTTCAGAGAAAACGATTTTGAGCACACAACACATTTATAAGGCTTTTCGCCAGTGTGCACGAGTTTGTGTACTGTAAGACAGGATTTTATAGAAAATGATATTAGGCACACGTTACATTTATAAGGCTTTTCCCCAGTGTGAACGCGTTTATGTACTGTAAGAGAGGATTTTGCAGTAAACGACTTTAGGCACACGCCGCATTTATAGGGTCGTCCAATGTTGCCAGTGTATCCATCAGTTACTCCAACAGTCGTATGATTGACACTACAACAAAACGATAAACAATAACGTTTTACAAAAATTTATTCTTGTCACAGTTATACGCATCAAATCATTTGTGTTTATTAACATGTTTTCGGCAGCCGCCCGATCTGGAGAAGTTTTTAATTATTATTTATATTTAATTTACTAAAATTAATTTTAATTTTAATTAATATTGAGCGTGAAACTTACAAAATTTCATTACTTATTTTTTGCTTTAATGAGGATGTATTGTTCTCAAACTGACGTTTTTATTTCATTACTTTTTTGTGAGTCACAATATCTTTGTTAATTATCAATGTGTAACTATGGCGTAAAATTTTATAGACAATCGATCATCCCTAATCCTATCATTCTAATATTAAAAATTAAAATTTGTTTTTAAGCATCTTTACGAACAATGCATTTATCGATAATTGTGTTTCTACCATTACAGATACGCATCGTGGCTTTTATTTGAAAGTGAATTTATCACTTTCAGTTGTAATCATTTATATACACCAGATAATAGACTGCAAATTAGGCAGTAGGTACTTAAATAACGAGTGGCATAATGAATAATATGATCAATTTGTCTTACGTGATATTATTTTCAACGTCTTGTTTTCCAGAACTTTGCTGGGTTGTTGAGTGCGCACTATGTGAATGACTAATGTGCCAGGCCACTCTCCTTTTGGTCTCGAATGATTTTTTACACATATCACAGACAAATGACTGTATCTCCTCCAGATCGTTTTTTGTTGTTTGTACATCCGACAAACTTTTTTTTTTAATTTTAATCACAGATTCGAAATAATTGCCAACCCCTAGGTCGGTTTCTTCTTTGACTATAGTTTCGTTGCACGTTTCTCCGACACTAAAAAACAAAAATAAACAAACTCAAAACTGTAATAGAAAATAATGGCTACGATCAATGAATGTTAACATAGCACTGTGTACTAGTTGCTATCAGTGAAACTGGTAAGAGCAATTTCAAGACTAGGATCAATTATTATAAAAATGTCCTACACACATTTCTGGAACTTTCAGCAGGTTTAGTAAATATTTAAATGCAGACAAAATGAAATATGTAAAGTTTTTTGACACAACACTATTGGCTCTTCATATTTTTTTTGTTTATTTAAATTAATTTAAAACAAAAACTTGTTTATTGCCCTGTCCGTTATTCCTCCGAGCATAATGTCGTGCCAACAGAAAAAGTACAGTGACCCTAATATTACATCAAAATAACAATATAAATTATTTGTAATTTAAAAAAGTCATTACTAGTATGAAATCCCGTCGAATGTTTTATAACGATAATTTTGGACCGTTCCGCAACTATTATATGATTTTTCAAAGCAAGTCAGACTTGGTTTCATCATTAAGGCTTCGATAATGTTCTCTTTCGTATCTTCATTTTCTTCATCTATTCTGTTCATGGGACAGCTGTTATAATCATCAGTTTCTTCTTTAATTTCAACTTTAATTTTCTCTTCAGTAAATCTAAAAAATAAAACACATAATATGGATTTTAACTATAAGAGTTTCTAATATATTTTTTTGTTTTAGATTTGTAACTGAAAATACTAGGATATTCAGGGGTGGCCAAATATTATTATTAACTAACATTTATTTAAAATATTTGATTTTAAAAGTTATATTACTCGTACGAATTGCCATCGATCGTTTTTTGTTGCTCATTGTTTTCTTCTTTTTCAATTATGGATTTACAGTAATAATCATCCGTCTCACCTTCTTCAATTTTAATTCTTGGCACATCTCCTGTTTCATTAAGTCTAAAAACACAAAGAACAATATAACAAATTAGGTTGTTAACTTTAAATGTATATTTTAAGTAAAGTATTAAACTACAAGTGTTAGCCTCAGATTTTTTTTTTCTATATCAAAAACTGATATAAATTATCTATATCCATGATTGGCATTGGTAAGACATGATACATGAATATTTAAATCAAAACCTAATCGAACAAAACATTTACTTGGACTGCTGACAAATAAAAAACAATGAGAGTACAAAAGAAACTAACCTAATAAAAATATATTGTTTTTTTAAATTTTATTATTTATTTAAAATAAATTACAAACGCCTAGTTATCTGCTCTAGCTACCTTTATCATGTTATAGTTTTTTTTAAATAAAATGTATTTCAAATCACGTTACTTATAAGAATCCTCGTTTATTGTTTTTTTATCGTTGTGGGTTGTAAAACAACTCTTATATGTTTTTTCAATGTTACTCGGTTTTGATTCTTTCACTAAGGCTTCAGTAAAGTGCTTTTTTGTATCCTTGTTGTCTTCCTCTATTTTGATCAAGGTACCGCAGTTATAATCACCCATTTTAATTTGAATTCTTGGCTAGTTTCGCACTTCTTAAACTCTAGAACACAAAGCATATATCCAATAATTAGCATAATATCTCATAATGTATATTTAAAAATGACTCTAGCTGAAGTTTAATCTTATTTAAATGAATCAATGCGAGCGAGACGTCTTAGTAAAAAAGTCCTAGATATATGACCAGCAACATATTTCCATTAGTTTACCAACTTGTTTGACAAAATACATAACAACAGATCTGTAGACTGTAGGTAAATTACTAATTAATTAGTATTTTTTATTAATAAGAATAAATACAAATTATATAATCAATGAAAATGTTTGTCGGTACTTATTATTATTTAGATATTATGAAGCCGCTTCCAAGGATACGACCCATAGACGTGAATACACAGTTGTGAAATTACACACTTAATACCTACCAATTGTGTTTTTAAAATTATATTTAAGTTCTTGTCAACACACAACGACGACACAACTTTTCGAAAAATCAACAACGAGCGCTTTAGATGAGAGTTGTGAATGCAAAAAAGTTACAGACAACAATCTAGTTGATAATGGTGTTTATGCGTGTGCGACAATTAATGATAACAACCAAATGTATTTACCTTCACTCCGTTCTACCTCTGACCATTCGATGGCCGCTGTTATCACACGCATAAACATCATTATCAAGTAGATTGTTGTCTGTAATTTTTTCGTCTCACCCAAAGTGATCCTTATTGTTCTTTTAAAATTATAACATAATTGTGTGTTTACTGTTCAAATATTGCTAAAAAACATATTATTATTAAATGTTAAACTATGTTTTTACGTCCATGGAAACTGTCTCATAATGGCTTAATAATAGTAAGTACCGACAAACGTTTTTATTTAATATATAATTTTTATTTATTCTAATGAATTTATTAGTTAGTTATTTACCTTCCGTTAATGGATTTGATATAACGTATTTTGTTAAACAAGTTAAATTATTCACATACATTCATTTTTTAACTTAACACTTTTAGCGTCAAAAGCACTATCAACGGTCGTAGGGATGATAACACTTCTAGTTTACAGCTCAGCAAGTGCTACCTTTTTCTAATGTAATAAATTTACTTGTTGATCACAAATAACGCATTGGAAATGTTTTCTATTGACTTATTTTCAAGAAGAATTAAATTTTTTTCCTTTATAAATGTTTTTTTGTAAAAAATTAATACCAAATTTTAATTTTTTGGTCCAGTAAATATGTGATTTGTTTATTTACATTAGTAAGAATAGTATTTTCTTTAAAAAGTATGGTGAATTTTTTACTGACTATAAATAATACAATTTTCTAATATTTTAATCATTCGTCTCATTACGGGATCAGCCTTCTAGTAGTGTGAATCACTGGTAAAACATCTAGGGCTTTTTAGGCCCCACTCATATTTATTTAAATATACTTACACTGAGGTCTCGGGCTAAGGTCATTTTGATGGATTAATTATAAGTTCTTATCTTAATTTTTAAAAATAAAGTTGTATTTTAGAGTTAAAGAAGTGAGAAACTAGCTAAGGATCAAAATTAAAATGGATGATTATTGCTGTGAGACTGTGATCAAAATAGAGGAAGAAGATGAAAATAGGAAAGAACAAATTACCGGAGTCTTAGTGGAAAAAACAAAACCGAAGAACATTGAAAAATTATATTATAATTGTTCTACAACGACCAAAAACAAACCTCAACAAAATATTAATGGAAATCCATAAAAGTAATGTAATTTATAATTAAAGAATTTGAAATAAATTTTTTTAAAGAATAGTAATAAAAATAATAATAGGTACTAGTTAAGGTATCAATGGGCATTCCATGGTGAATAACTAAGTGAATAACTAAGAGTAAACACCAATATTATGTTTTTTTTTAATCTAACTTTACCTAACCAGTCTAGTTCCAAGCAGACCCTGACCGAACCAAAAAAAGCGTATTATGTGCTTTGAGAAATATATATTATTTTACAATATACTAATGGCAAAAATGGCAATAAGCGAAACAGAAAAAAAAAATTTGGTTTGTTTAATGTTACTATTTTATTTCATACTTAAGTAAGTCATCTCATTAAACGGAAGTGCAACAAATTAGCTACCTCCCATGAACTATTAATTATTAATTACTTATACATTTAGAGGAAATAATTAAAATGCTTAGTAAGTTATGCCGTATAAGGCTACAAAAAAAACATTGTAAGTTAACAACCTAATTTTTTTTAATGTTCTTTGTGTTTTTAGACTTAATGAAACAGGAGATGTGCCAAGAATTAGAATTGAAAAAGGCGAGACCGATGATTATTACTGCAAATACATAATTGTAAAAGAAGAAAAAAATTAGCAACAAAAAACGATCGACAGCAATTCATACGAGTAATATAACTTTTAAAATCAAATATTTTAAATAAATGTTAATTAATAATAAAATTTGGCCACCCCTGAATATCCTATAAATTTCAATTACAAATCTAAAACAAAAAAAGGATTACATACAGTTTTTGTATCAATATTTTGTAATAAAAAAAAAAAGATTACTGTATAGCTTTGATTTTTGGTAAGGACTTTGCTTTACGTATGAAACAATAGTACTCTTTCTTTATCATAATTACTGGTTGTAAAACACTCTACGCACCCCTAGAATTTCTACTGCAAATTATGTTAATTATTAAAATGTATGTGTTTTGCCTACATTTGACTTGTATAATTTTTACAAACGACCATTGGCAACGTGTTTGATTTTTGGGAACACCCACTAATTTATTGACATCTATTGAATGTACCAATTAACCAACAACATTAACGAACATAATAAATAGTCGGCTTAACTACATGACCGCTGAAATTATTACATTAGAAACTTTTATAGTTAAAATCTATATCATGTGTTTTATTTTTTAGATTTACTGACGAGAAAATTAAAGTTGAAATTAAAGAAGAAACTGATGATTATAACAGTTTGAACAATATAGATGAAGAAAATGAAGATACAAAAGAGAACATTACCGAAGCCTTAATGATGAAACCAAGTCCGACTTGCTTTGAAAAATCATATAATAGTTGCGGACGGTCCAAAAGGTTCGTTATAAAACATTCGATTTCATACTAGTAATGATTTTTTTAAAATACAAATAATTCATATTATTATTTTGATGTAATATTAGGGTCACTGTACTTTTTCTGTTGGCAAGACATTATGCTTGCAGGAATAACGGACAAGGCAATAAACAAGTTTTCGTTTTAAATCAATTTAAATAAACAAAATGTTAAACAAAAAAAATTTGAAGAGCCAATAGCGTTGTTTCATAAAACTTTACATATTTTATTTTGTCTGCATTTAAATATTTACTAAACCTACTGCCTAATTCGCAGTCTCTCATGTGGTGTATATAAATGATTACAACTGAAAGTGATAAATTCACTTTCAAATAAAAGCCACGATGCGTATCTGTAATGGTAGAAACACAATTATCGATAAATGTATTGTTCGTAAAGATAATTATATGCTTAAAAACAAATTTTAATTTTTAATATTAGAAGAATAGGATTAGGGATGATCGATTCACTATAAAATTGTACGCCATAGTTACCCATTTATTATTAATAAAGATATAGTGACTCACAAAAAAGTAATGAAATAAAAACATCAGCATTGGCGAACCAGTCAAGATATCCAAATGGGAGTAACCGCAAGGCGTGTAAATACTCTAAATATAATACCCCATTCAAGTTTTAATAATTTTTTTTTAAATCATCAGTTTATGAACAATATCTTCTTTAAAATCGACATTGTTACTAATAAATAATAATAATATATAAAAATGATTGGCGCTTGATCTGTTGGACTGTCACTGTGAAAGAATAATGGACTTTTGTAAGTTTCTCGCACAATAATAATTAAAATAACAATAAATTTGAGTAAATTAATTATAAATAACAAACAAAAAATCGTCCAAATCAGCAGACGGCTGCCAAAAACATGTTAAACAAAAAAAAATTGTTTGCTGCGTAATAATATGTTTTTGTAAAACGTTATTATTTATTGTTTTGTTATAGTGACAATCATACGACTGCTGTAGTGACTGATGGTTACACCGGCAACGTCGGACGATCTTACAAATGTGATGTGTGCTTAAAGATATTTTTTAAAAAATGCCACTTTGAACGACACCAACGCGTGCACACAGAAGAAAAACCTCAAAAATATTTTGTGATAACCTTTTTCAATAACTTAAAACATATTGCAAAAATTAAAAAAAATGTCAAACAAAAATTGTTTATGACATAATTTTCTATTAAAAAGCCCTCTAACAATTTTATTTATCGTACATAATATTACACATGTAACGTGAGCTACATGTTACATATTATTTTAGCTTCGGTGCGGAACTGAGAAAGTATTGTTTTTACAATGATGTGTTTTTATTTTTTTAATTTTATTTTTGTGTCTGGACCCACGAAAATATCATAAACCCTTTCCCGTAGATGGGATAGAATTTTTTTCTTTATTTCACTTTTTAAAGCAAAGTTTTAGAGATTAAGATCTGAAAATTAGACCGAAGGTAGATCTAAAATGGAACTATAACATATACAATTTTCTCAAAAATCTGTATTCAATTTTTTTTTTATTAAAAGGACGCCACACCGGCCATTTGTAAGTAGTAAAGTATAGGCAATTTTTCGAAAAATCTTAATTTAGAGTTTGAACTAAAATGCATACTTATTAATACAGTAATGAGGATACTTTGTGATTGACATTTTTTTTGTCAGACTATCACAGTCATTTCTATAGGATATATTACAATTTTTTCCCTTCAAAACTGCTTTGCGCGAATTTATTTTTCTCATGCTTCATATATAGTTAAGGAAAGAAATTCATACATATTATTTATGACAAAATTATCTGTGTTCCATCATCAGTATTTTTTCGATATACCTAATTCAACTAACACTGTATAATTTTTAAAAAAGTCAAAAAGTCCTTTCTTAATCATTTAATTGTTCATTAACTGGTTAAAATATTTAAAAAAGGGCGATGGTAGAACACAGACAATGGTGTTGTTTACCTATATTATGTAAAAATGTGGTTTCTTAGTTTTTATTATAGCCTTTGTAAAATTAATCCGCGCGAGTCGGGATTTTTGAAGAAAATAACGGGTGTGTGACGCCCTCTTATGGAAAAACATTAAAAATAGGGTAAATTTACACTTTGGCCGTAGTGAGTTTCTTGGTTGCTATGGGTGAGTGAATTAACAGTCAACAGGTAATGAAAATATTTTTATTATATTGTTAATTACGATATATGGGTAACTATGACAGTACATTTTTATAAACAGACGATAAACCCTTATCGTATCCACCCTGCACAAGACTAAATATTAAATTTTAAGTACATTATTGCTGGTCCCACGATATCTTCTAAACCGCTATAACTGGTTTGAACATACAATCCACAGATTCGCATCGAAGCGTTTATTTAAAAGTGATTCTATCACTTTCAGTTATAATAAAATCTGTAAACCTGTGACCTCTCCGTCCCCACTATGCCCCGACCCCACTGTACTGGTTTTTTTTAATGTTGTCTTTTAGTTTTAAATCATTAGTATACTACCATTTTATTTTCTCAGTTAAGAACGTTTTAACGTAAGTTGTAGCATTTGCGAGATAATATTACAAATTATTGAATATATACAGGGTGATCCAACTAACGTAAGACATTCATTTTCTCTGATAATATGAATATTTTGAGTTTTTTTTCCCCCAATCCTTATAAGCCAAAAAAGGAGATTTTCGTTTTTTTTAAATGGCAACATATGTTTTTAATTACATAAATGTATACACAAATACATGACTTGGTAAATTTTGATATTTGCATATTTTAGGAGAAAAAAGTGAAAAATGTTCCTTATGAATAACATTAAAAATAATACGCAGGGGCATAGGGTGGGCGCTGTGGAGACTTCAGCTGCCACGCGGCATCTGAGGTTAAGCTGTGTCCGTTGCTGCTTGATCCAGAATGGGTGACCACCCGGAAAAATGTTCATTATTAAAAAAAACTAGAAATAAATCTCGGCCCACTCCGGTTATTAGACAAAAAGATTTGATTTAAGTCTCTGATTTTATGATAAAAATTTCAGAAATTTAAAACTGGTCGAAATCGATTTTTTTTGAAAATTACCTTTAAAAAAAACCAGTACAGTGGGGTCGGGGCATAGTGGGGACGGGGAGGTCACAGGTTTACAGAAGTTTTTAAATCTGAAAGTGATCATCAAGCTCATTTGTAAATACAGAACCTTAATTTAAAACCTTCTAACTTTGCTGGTTTATACCGTGCTTGGTTTGGACTGTACTGGCTTGAAAATACTAACTACCGATTTGCATCGAAGCGTTTTTTCGAAAGTGATTTTATCACTTTCAAATTTAAAAATTCCTGTAAACCTGTGACCTCCTCGTCTCCACTGTGCTCCGTCCCCACTATGCCCCGACCCCACTTTACTGGTTTTTTTTTTTTGCAAAAACGTAATGGACCAAATAACACATATACAATGTCTGTTAAATTTTGTTGGAATGGTCGACGATTCATGTTCCAATCGTTTGTACTCCATAGTTTAAATTATAATCGCTTATTCTCAATAAAATTAATATTTATGTATTACATAATACCATTAGAGCAATCTCACACAAACTATTTATACTTCATAGATTATATTATTTCAAAGCTATATTATAGTTCTATTTTACTAGATTGACAATGTACAAAATAAAATGCAATTAAAAAAACCTTTTCATAGATCCTTAAAATGTAAAGAGTGGGATAGTGAAACGGGTTTTCCCATTTAAATACATTAGAAAATCGCCGTTTTACTACCCCATCCTGTATATTAATTTCTTGTTATTTTCTAAAGAAAAATTGATTTTCTTACATTTAAATTAAAATAAATCGTATACTGGTACTGTGATGGAGAAAACAATAAATTTTACCTACATATATTACTTATTAGTTAAATATTACTAACGTGTATAGCCACTAGCGGTCGGTTGTTGCCTGTTACTTAACAATAACCTTTTATGGAGATTTTAAAAATTGTGTTTTTTTAATAATAGTATAGGAGCAGTATCATGATGTTAAATGTTCACGAGATTCGATCTAGTCATAAAATAAAGTACTATTATTCATGACTTTTAAATACTATTAAAATATATCTTAACTTGAACACAGTAATTAAATAATGAAATATTTTATACAAAATTAGAGCTACAAAGTTATAAAATTAAAAATTAAAACTAGCACGAAGCAGATTACATATCTTATATAAGATATTTTAACAATCAAGCGTGAATCTCTTTAAATAAATAACAGTATAATAATATGCAAAACATTAGTTTTCCTTTAAAAAAATTGTGTAATAAAAATACATTTTGGGGCGGTATACTGCATAAAAACCAACACTTAATCTGAATCCAAAAAAACAACAGTCCTCTTCATAATTTGCCGGTAGTTGGACCTTATATACTCATAGTTGACCTTCGGTAAAGTAATATAACGCAGGCGATAAAATAACGAGATAACGACAGTGGTTTTGTCGTGTCAGAATAATTAAGTGTCTTAATAAGTACACGGATAGGTTCTTTTCCAATAAATCGTGTGTCTACTATAATCAGTTACACGATTTAGTCGTCTGTGATACAGGCACGGCGCCAGAATTTTTTTCCTAGTAGGGCGGGAAAGGTCAAGTGAATTTTTGGAGGGGCAACCACAATAATTTTACCTACTTCTGTCAATAAAAAACATGTATAATGATTTATCAGTGAATGACTTTAATATTTCAGTGAAATAGTATAAAATATGAATTTATTACAGATTAAGGGACAATATACACTAGTGTACAATTTAAATAAGGCAACCTTTTTAAATAAGCTTTATTTTTACCTGTCGGCCATCATATAGCTCTTTTTGTACTCTATGAAAGTCGAAGTAAAAATGAAGGCTTATAAAACGCCCAACAACCAGTCAGTGGAGTTTATAGTTATCGTGTTATACCTACATTCTATTAAACCAAAACAATCCGTCAATAAACACTGAATTTTTGGAAAACACACACACAAACGTAAATATTATAATTATATATATACATATATACACCAAAACACATAATTATATGGGCGACGGATTATTGATAACCGATTGCAAAAACACTCAAAATATATTGATTAAAAAAGGCCACATTTGGTGACAATGTCATAACTAATAACTAAATTTGTATAGATAAAAAAAAAGTTATTCAAAATCTGGGTTTTAGGAATAATAATCAAATATTTAAAATTATACTATTTAGCAAAATATCTGGGGGGGCGAGAGAAGGGCAAGAATTTGTTATGAGGGGGCGACCGCCAACCCTCACCCCCCCTTGGCGCCGTCCCTGCTGTGATATCATGTAATAAACACAATATTATGATACCGACCATTGGGCCCTAACCTAACCTAACACGGATAGACGTTACCAACTGATAGTTTTTAGTGTCTGTTCGTTTCTCACATCTGTTATACCGTGTTTTTAGTTAGAAAAAAAAAATTGAATTTGTGTAAACTTAAAGTCAAAAGTGGTACTTGAGCACAAAACCTAATAGTATCATTCTGCATAGATATACATAAAATTGTTTTAATGATTTGATCAATTTTTTTTAAAGATTTTAGGTGTTTTTGTTAAAATATACGCAATCTGCGAAAACGCAGTTTTCCGGCAATTAAAAAAAAACTGTAGTGTCGAATTTTTTACCCGTTTAATATGTTATGGATACATATAAGTTTCAACTACTGGCAAATTTTCAACCCAAAGGTCTTAAAATTACGGCTAAAAACCCCGAAAAACAAAAAAACTTGTACCCCCCCTAGGGGGGTGGGAAACGAGTATAGTTTAAATTGGACACAACTGACGTGCGCGGGCATACCAAATAATTATTTCTTATACGTTTCAACTCGATCCCACTCTTTTTCTTGAAATTATAGCCAATAAAAGTTCTAACTTAAAAACTCGTACGGTTTTTTTTTTTGTTTTTTCAAATTTCGTCTGTGAAGACTTAAACTTTTTCAACTTTTACTCCCCCAAAGTACAAACTAGATACAATTTGTGATTTATAGAGTTGCTGTTCGAAGGAATTGGTCTAGTATTAAAAAAGTTACAGTGTATACAGCGAAAAAAAAGCCTACATCACAGTAAAACTAATACCTTCTCGCTTTGCATCGAGGCTAAAAATCCTGCGCGCATAAAGGAAAATGAATTATACCGCAATTTTGGAAATGCTGAATGAATGGATAGAAGGTGGTTAGGTTAACTGTCTTTAAGCTCTCCTATAAAGTTAAGATATATTTTGATTGTTATTTTATAA